ACTTTCACTTGCTGACTTGTCAATCATTTTGCAACAAACTCTGTGACAGCTCTTTTTCATACTAGGCCACCAGTAACGACTTTTCAAATCCTGATACATCTTATTTCCACCTGGGTGCATCGTCAAAGGGATAAAATGTGCCTCACCCAGAATATCTTTCCTCAATTCTTCATTATCAGGAATGTATAGTCTTCCAAGATAATATAAACATCCAATATCCTTAATTTTGAAATCTTTGGCTTCTCATTTTTCAACTTTTGCCAATCTTATTAAGCATTTCTTATCTCTACCTTGCAGCTCTTTAACCCAGTCCAAAAACATCGGCCTTAACTTTAATTTAGCAATCAAAGAACCATCTTCTTTTAAATATATATATGCATCTAAAGCCCTTAAAGCTACAAAAATCTTTCGACTGAGCACATCTACTACCACATTAGCCTTTCCCGGATGATAGTCAATAACCAAATCATAATCCTTTAGGAGCTCAATCCATCTTCTCTGCCTTAGGTTCAGCTCTTTCTGAGTTAACAAATACTTTAGACTTTTATGGTTTGTGTAAACATGGCAACGCTCACCATACAGATAATGGCTCCAGATTTTCGAAGCAAACACTACGGCTGCCAATTCCAAATCATGTGTAGAGTAATTTCTCTCATGATTCTTTAGTTGTCTTGAGGTATAAACTGCAACTTTCTTCTCTTGCATCAATACACATCCTAATCTGGTATGGGATGTATCACTGAAAACAACATAATCCTTACCTGACTCAGGTTGCACAAGAATGGGAGCCTCCGTTGCTATTCTCTTGAGCATATCAAAACTTTTCTGGCATCTTTCCATCCAAACAAAATACATATCTTTTCACAAACAACTTAGTTAGCGGTAGAGCTAACATCGAAAATTCTTTACAAAACGACTATAATAACCAGCGAGCCCCAAGAATCTCTGAACTTTAGAAATATTCTTTAGGGGTTGTCAATCCACTATAGCTTGAATCTTTTTGGGATCCACTCTTATGCCTTCTGTAGATACTATATGACCAAGGAAAGCAATCTCAGACCAAAATTAGCATTTAGACAACTTCCCGTACAACTTCTTATCGCGAAGTATCTGAAGAACCACTCGACGATGAGCATCATGTTCCTCCCTTGAGTTGGAATATACCAAGATATCATCTATAAACACTACCACAAACTGATCTAAGTATGATTGGAATAATTTTTTCATTAATTCAATAAATGCTACAAGAGCATTTGTTAATCCAAACGGAATTACCACAAATTCATAGTGTCTGTACCGAGTCCGAAAAGCCGTCCTGGAAATATCCTCCTTTTCGATCCTTAACTGATGATAACCTAGCCTCAGATCTATTTTAGAGAACACTATTGTGCCTTTCAAGTGATCAAACAAGTCATCAATCCTCGGAAGAGGATACTTGTTCTTTATTGTTACCTTGTTTAATTGACGATAGTCAATACATAACCGCGTAGACCTGTCCTTCCTTTTCATGAATAACACAGGTGCTCCCCATGGAGAAACACTGGTCGGAAGAATCCTTTATCCAACAGCTCCTGCAACCCTTCTTTTAGTTCCCTTAACTTCATTTGAGCCATTCTATACGTAGCCATAGAAATAGGTTCGGTACCCGGGTAAACCTCAATTCTAAATTATACTTCTCGATCTGGAGGTAAACCCGATAACTCTTCAGGAAAAACTTCTGGAAACTCCCTAACTGTGGGGATATCATGTAATCACACATCCGGCACTCAAGTGTCTATCACATTAGCTAGAAAGGCAACACATCCTTTTGACATCATTTTCTTTGCGGTCATGGCTGATATCACATTGGACAGGGATTTTACCTTATCACCTATCACCACAATTTCAGAGCCTTCCACATCGTTTAAGAATAATCTTTTCTGGCGACAATCTACCCATCCATGATGTGGAGATAACCAATCCATGCCCAAAATGATTTCGACCTCAATAAAGGGTAACTCTATCAAGTTTGCCAAAAATACTACCCTTTGAATTTCAATTGGACATTTTCTACACACCCTAGCCACCCTTGCACTTTGACCCATAGAATTTATCGCTATCATTTCACTAGCAATTGGTTCTAAAGGAATTCTTCTATTTCTAATCAACTTGGTACTAATATATGAATATGTAGAACCTGGGTCGACTAAAACAAAAACATGTTCATAAAAAATGTGACATGTACCTGTTATAATCTCCGAATCATCCATATCTTTACTGGTATTTATGTTATAAACTCGGGCCACACCCCGAGTCTCTTATCTTTGGCTAGACTCATTTTGATCGCCTGCTTTTCCTCTACCTCTACTTCTACTTGGTGCGGTGACTGATCTATCTGATTGTGTGGATCTATTTCCTTATTTCTTCAGACAACTCTGAACAAAATGACCAGATTCCCCACAATGGAAACAAGCACCAGAAAGCAACCTACATACTCCCCCATGTGACTTACCGCACATCTGACATAGAGGTTTCTCTCCATGAGTTCTACCCGAGCTAGGAGCTAGGAATGCGACTGCTTAGTTTTTCGTGAAGCTGTATAATAATCAGTTCTATCAGTGAATTGAGAACCTAAGCCCTTGCCCATTTTTTCATAATGTATAGATGAAGAAGTTCCAATTCTTTTTTCCCGTCTACATACTCTGCTCTGTAGCTAGAGTCTCCTCTTGTTTCAATCGCCTTTCTCTATTTATCACTTTTTACAGACTAGACAAATTTAATGCCAACATCATCTATTTTAGCTTAGGCCTCAGACCCTTAATGAACCAATCTCAACGAGCTTTATCATTAGGAACAACCTCTTTAGCATAACGGTTGAGCTTATTATATTCGGCCTCATATTTATGCACTGCTCGATCCCCTTGTTTCAAGCTAAGGAACTTCAATAACATCGATCTCTTGAACTACTCCCCAATATACTTGTTCTTGAATTCCTCTTGGAAGAACTATCAGTTCACTTGCTCGGGCAACGCATACATCATCGAGTTTGTCCACCATACCCGAGCCAATCCTCTGAGTAACGATACAGCTCTGCCGAGTTTTTTATGATCGGAGCACTGCAAACTTTCCAACATTGCCTTTATATTGTTCAACCATAAATTTGCATCCATTGGACCTTTACTTTCTTCTTCCCTAAACTCAGGAGCTCCCAAACTTCTTAAATCCTTTGGGATTAGCATTCGCGGTACTGGAGGAGCAGGGGAGGCGGAGGAGGTTGAAACCTTGTCAAAATGGCATCTAGAGCTTGCATAAAAACTCTGAACTTTGGAACAGACATCCCCTGAGGTGCCGATGTGCTGGTATCCTCTGAAGGAATCGGATGTTCGCTATTTTCCTCATAACTTTCACTTCCCGATTCATCTCTACTTTCTTGACCAACCGCTCTTCTTGAATTCGTAGAATCCGACATCTGTCATAACATTCATAAAAATCATAATTAAGTTAGTAAGAAGAAACATCTTTCATATTCATTCTATACCCTATCAGTAACCTTGACATCTTAGTGGCATGTAAACTATTTTTATATCATACTTGTAACACTCGTAACCCATATAATTATACCTATACAGATTATAGATGTCACACAAATTTCTTAAATCATTTCCACTTTTACAAGTGATTTAAAATTTATTTTCTTAAAATAGTAAATGATATTATAAAAATATCATATCATATGAATTGTGTTTCGTTATAACAAATTTAAAACAAAAGATTTTTTATGAGCAGCGAATAGTGAACAGTAATAGTGAACAGTACCTGTGAACAATGAACAGTGGGGGTATCAGTTCTCCTGTAGCAAGGAATTGGTTCCCCTTTAACATACTGGAAAATTTTTAACAAACGTGGTTACTGTTCATTACTATTAACTACTACAGTAACTTCCAAAAATTACATATAAAACTCATAAAAATTAACCTTTCATCACTATCAAGTTACCAATTGGTTTCCAAATTAATTCAACAAAACAAATTTAACATTATCAAATTACATGCCACTATCTAAATCAAATTCCATCATAGGATGTCTTACTGATATTGAAATATACTTTTCGATGCTTTATGTCCCTTTGAACTCTTTATTCCACTACTGGTTTTTTTACCTATGCATGAAAATCATCACACGCTAAGTATAAACTTAGTGAGACAATTAAAACAATAAACAGTGCAATATAATTCATGCATGAATTTCAATGTCAATTTTAAAATGCCATAAAATCATGTTACCATCATATTTAATATTTATCATGATCAAAATAATACAACTTTCTTACCAATATACATATCATTTATCACATAAGCTCATAAGCTTATATTACCAACATTCTTACCATTTATTCCATAAGTTCGTAAGCTTATTTTACCAATACTTACCATTTATTCCATAAGCTCGTAAGCTTATTTGCATACTTACCATTTATTAACCAATAAACCATAACCCAAAGTATAACTATAGGAGGAACCCAGTATAGGAGTCAAATATTGCACCGAAGTGCTGAGGTCGAGCTTTGCTCACCTAATAATGCACCGTAGTGCTTGTATTGTGTCTTCACTAGACACTAAGGCCTGCACTATGTGCCTTCTCTAGACACTCTAGTACTACCTAATATGCAGTTGCTAGACTCTATGGCATGCCATTAATAGCACTGATCCTCAATAACATACTTGGGCATATAGTCAATTTATTTGATCCATCCATGGCAAATTATATCAAAACCATTTAACATTGGGCAGTTCATACCCACAATATCATTCATGATAAAAATCATATATGTTCATGATAACATCATATGCAACAATCAGTGATCAATGCATTTTATATTCAACCTTTGACATATTTAGAATATATCAAATATATGATAAATGACATAAATATGATGTCAACATAAACTAGGTCGACTTATCGCAAGTCTTCCTAATGATGTATAAAACATTCATGTATAATTTCATGCATGTATTGCACTCACCTTGACACTTTATATCTTTCAAAAATATGTGCCTCACTATTGTCCATAATAAACCCTTTTTGTACTTGACTTACTTCAATTGCAAATCAATCATAATCTGTGTAAATAACAAATTCATAATAATTCATATGTTAGTATTGTACTAACATAAATACATCCCATAATAACTCCATAATATACTTGAACTCATTTTCGATCAAAATACTTAACTATTAATAATTCCTTTTAACATTGGAACCCACTTTTCCAAATTACTCAAAATGGCCCTTCACCATTTTATCACTTAGATTCTTAATACCAATAATTTCAGCATTGAAATATATTCCCATTCAAATGCTTTTACAAAAGCATAATTACATTTAAGTACACCAACTATACAATTGTTGTACTTAAATCACTAATATTTTCAAACTTCCAAAATAGTCATATTTCACATCTTACACTCATTTCAATTCCCAAACAACAATTTCCAGCATAGTATATCAATATAATACTTACACAACAACCCATCAATTTTCCATATTCAGACAACTCACACTACCTTTAAAGAATCCGTATTATGTATTGATATACACACTTGAATTCAATTCTGTTTATTCCATTGAAAACTAGACTCGAATACAAATCTATCCATATAAATAAATCCTTCTAATTCATTCTGTACAATTTATGGTGAATTTTCAAAGTTGATCAACAGAATCTATTTTGTAGAATATGCTGTCCTAATGTTTTGACATTTCCTCGGTTAAAAATTCATTTCTTTTTGTACACACCTTGAAATTGATCCCCGTTTGTTTTAAAAAAACTAGATCGATATATGGACACAATATATAAAAATAACCTCCAAATTATTTTTATATAATTTCTGGTGAAGTTTTAAACTCACTACTAATTTCAAAATATAAACTGTTTTCTAGAACCTCATCCTTAGGTTCTTCATCAATTCTTACAACCAATTCTTTAAAATCACTTAACTCTTCATAACCCATAAAACACAAGAACCCCTTCATCAACTCAAGATGAACTTGAACACTAACAATATTATCATGCAATATTGGTACCAAATGATAGCGTTTTTCGCATATAACAATTTTCTACTTACAACATACTCAAAATCCTAAGTAAATTGCTTGAAAATGAAATTAAAGCTTTCTCTCACCTTTGAAGAAGCTCACGTCTGGTTGGAGAAGAAAATGAGCATGTGAAATGAAATGTTAGGTACATTTCATCCTAATTTACATTTAATCTAACTTTAAATGAATATAATATTCATTTACTTGAGATAAGACCAAATCACCCTTAATGAATCTTCTTATTCACCATAAAAACATGACAACTCATCCTTATCATATTTCAAAGTCAAAGCTGAATTATTTTGACTTTTAATTTCGAAATTCCCCTTGAATTTTCAAAATTTACGTTTTAGTCACTAAATTCCACTGTTTCAATTAAATCTAAAAAATTGCACATTTCCAAACCAAATTTCTCTGATATAAAATATTAAAATAATATTTCCAACCATTTTATAACATCCTTCAAATTTTTGTAAAATTCCAATTCGATCGGAATTACCGATTTCCTTACCAGCTTTAACCCTTTCTAATTTTTCTTTACTAAAATTACAAATCCAAAAATATGGTTTCTATAAAACTCCACTCTCAAGAGTAAACCATATATTTATGGAATAAAATTCTTTTTAGGAAATTTCTCACTTAATTCCCTAAACTTTTTCCTAATTTTCTACTTTGACTATCAAACTTTCAAAATTTTCATTTTGGTCATTGTCTGAATTTTTGGGGTATTACAAAACTACACTCATTTTCTGTCGAGAATCGGCTAAACCTATAACTCTGATACCAATAAATGTAACACTTATCTCCCCGTATACCTTTCCATATACGAGTTACAAGTGTCACATCATATGTATCCTTTTTTTAAACAGTTCCTCATTTGAAAACTAGTACTATTTTATTTCGTTTATAACACATTTTAATTTACTTAAAATAAATCATACATTTAATAAGGTAAAAAACAAAAAGAGAGGTTCAATGTTTCACCGTATACGTAAATTTAATTCAAAAGATTTTTAAAGCATTTCTTCCTATAAACCTATTACATGCAATCTAAAATACATCAAAAGTAGACATGTAAGTCGTACTGTTACTGACAAGGCGATTCCGGCTTGGATGTCTATTGATCTCCTTACTTAGCGGATATTCTACCTACGAACGAAATAAACATACGTTAAACATGATCTCCTTACTTAGCGGATATTCTACCTACGAACGAAATAAACATACGTTAAACATTACTTAGTGAGGCGTACTTAATCATAAGTAAAATTCTAAACTCAATTTATTTAATTACAATTCACATTTCAAGTGATTCTTTCAATTCAATAAACACTCTATAGTTTACATCTGTAGTGTTAATACCATCATTTCTCAACCATTTCTATCATCTATGTGGTTTGCATACCCATTACTAATATAAAGATACATTTCTTTATCATGTAGTCCTTGTGTTTATACACACATTTCCCATATAAAAATTCATACACTTAGTATGAATCTCTTAACCATTTGCACACAAAGTGGCCAATACTAAAATTCATACACTTAGTATGAATCTCTTAACCATTTGCACACAAAGTGCACAATACGGAAATTCATACACTTAGTATGAATTTCCTATCTTTTGCACACGAAGTGACCAATATGGAAATTCATACACTTAGTATGAATTTCTTAACATTTTTGCACACGAAGTGCCCAATATGGAAATTCATACACTTAGTATGAATCTCTTAACATTTTTGCACACGAAGTGCACAATACGGAAATTCATACACTTAGTATGAATCTCTTAACATTTTTGCACACGAAGTGCCCAATACGAAAATTCATACACTTAGTATGAATTTCTTAACATTTTTGCACACGAAGTGCCCAATACGGAAATTCATACACTTAGTATGAATTTCTTAACTTTTGCACACGAAGTGCCAAATACGAAAATTCATACACTTAGTATAAATATTTTAACATTTTTGCACACGAAGTGCCCAATACGGAAATTCATACACTTAGTATGAATTTCTTAACATTTTTGCACACTTAGTGCCATTTGGTAATCGCCATACCTACATTAATAATTTCTACAATTATGAATATTATAACATGTACGTACATAATTAAATACACTCACATGCTTCCGCGTTATGAATCCAAAATGTAAGGTTGATTACTCCGGTACTTTGCCTTTACCCTTAGTTTTGCTTATCTCGGGAGCTTGGTTTCGATCTACTCAATCATCCATTAAAACATGTACCATACCCAATATTAGTATATTTTATAACCATTATACTTAAACAATACTCAAAAGGACATATCATTTACTTTCTATAACAATATCAGCCTATTTTTAGCATTTCTGGCTCCATAGTATCGATACCCCTACCATGGTATCAATACTACTATACTATGGTACCGATACTCTGATATGGTATCGATACCATTTTTGCATTATGTTTCGAAATGGTATCGATACCTTCCCTTCGGTATTGATACTCCCCCTTCGGTATCGATACTGATTGAATCAGTATCGATATTACTTAGCAATTTTCAGCCTATTTTTAGCCTGTAATATCGATGTTGTTCTATTAGTACCGATACCCGTACCCAGATTTTCCAGTTTTTAACCTGATTATCACCCAAATGGTGTTGAATTTCGTTATATAAACACCAAACAATGCTATTAAACTCTTCTTTAACTATCCATACTAACATTCCTTCATTTAGCCTCTTAAAACATCTAAAATCTTCCAAGAACAATCAATTCTAAGAATCACACCACTTTTCCTAATGTGTTCTTAATCCTATCCAATACTTCTAATCCCTCATTTACCTCTTTGACAAGTCAAATCTACCAGTAAACATCCATAAACACTCCTATTTTAACATATCACTAAAAAACCCATTTTCTTCAATCTCTATTATCTCATCCATAACTTAGTTTTGATCCCCTTTAATCATTCCTTAAGCTTCTAGTATACTCAATGCGTCAAAACCCAACAAAAAACTAAGGAATAAACTAGTAAATTGAAAACTTAACTTTGAGCTATGGAGGAGCACGAGAAAGAAGAAGAAGGAAAGGAGTTGACCAAATTTACTCCCATTTTCCCCTTACTCTATACTTTAATACCTTAAAAGAAATGAATTTTAAATTCATCTAACTCCAATTGACCAAAATGTCCTTTTAATCCTCCATTACTACAATTTAGTTTAAACTATTCTTCCCAATTCATTTTCATCTTTTATCAATTAATCAAATAGATTCTCAAATCTTAAATCCTTTCAATAAAGTCCCTAATTCAACATTTGGGGCATTACACAACCAACCATGGCTTCACATCTAAAAGGTGTCCAAAAATCAACTATGACAAATCAAATACCTTGGGTACCGTAATAAAATTGATGTCAAACACCTATTGGATTACCTGGATGAAAATGATACATGTCCAGAGGATAAAATTAAAGATGATACAATACTTTTGCAACCAATTACATAGAAGGAAACACTCATAGCAACAACGATTCTTCACAACTTTTTGTTACAATATGAGAACACCACCAAAACTTTTAATGCAATAAGAAAAGTTAGAGATCAAATACCACTAGATTTAAATTTTAAGAAGAAGCAAACAACAATAGAATCATATTTTACTAAATTTTCCTATTTATATTTATAATTTTATAGAATTATTAATTTATAATATTAAAAAAAACATAAATCTATATAAGGGTATTCCAAAAAATTATTATCTTATTAATTTATCAAAATTATTAATTTAGATCGTGAGCCCAAGTCGAGACTAAGAAAATTTATTATTTTAGAAAGATTTATTAATTTATGAAGTATTAATTTATAGATGTTCTCTTGTACATTTTTAAATTTTATTAGTTTCAACATTTATAAATTTACTATTTTTTTAATCTCGTACTATAATATTATCATAAGTAAAATCATGTTTGAATATATATATATATTAAATATATATATATATATATATATATATATATAAAAAAATGAATTTAAATTATAAATCTTTAACTAATAATTTAAAAATTAAATTCTATAAATTTACTTCTAAATTATAAATTTTCTAAAAAAATAAATTTTATATTTAATCAATTAATTTATAATAATAAATAATAATTTTTTAATAATTATAAATTTAATAATTTAACTTCTAATATAATAAAATTACTAATAATAAATAAATTATTTAATCAATTTAATTTAATAATTAAAATTAAAATTTTTAATCTAATAATTATAATTAATATAATTTTTTTATTAATCTAATAATTATAACTAATTTTTAATTAAAAAAATTTAATCTAATAATTATAATTAATATATAAAAAATTTTATTAATTTATAATCATAATTAAATTTATTAATCTAATTATCATAATTAATAATTTATTTTAAATTGTGAAGAATTTTTTTATTAAATTTATCGATCCCAATTTATTAATTTAATAGAATTTTTGTATATATTTATAAACTATAATTTATTAATATAAATAGTAAATATATTAATCTAATGATCATATTTAATCATGTACTTTAAATAGTAAAGAAGTATTTTGTCACATTATAATATCATAGATTTATAATCTCACAGCTTCATTAATTGTAACTTACAAGTTATGTAAATATCAAATTATTTAAATAATAAGTCAAATTATTTAAATAATAAGTCAAATTATTTACAGGTTAAGCAAATTATAAATCAGTTTTATAACATATCATGTTGATAACACATTAGGTAATATCAGTTATTTATTAATTTAATCTTAGATTCAGGTCGTCCTCATATAGATTCAAATCTAAAATTCTTAGATCTAACTTGAATTTAAGTCAACATTAATTCAAATTTGAGTCAAATCTAAATTATCATCATCTTAAATCACAAAAAATTATAACTCAAACCGATTTAAGTCGGTTAATAGGTCAAATCAATTTTTCACGCCCCTACTCACCGCTTGTGCTTCCATTGTGGAATGGAATTGGATACGGCTTACCGATCCAAAATGGTTTAATACGGCTTGATTTATTACGCTTTCAAATTTGACCAATTTTAATTAGCGTAAAGTATAGTAATGATCATTGAATTTTTCTAAAGCTTTCATTTAGGTCCTCAATTTTTAAAACTTTCAATATAATCCCCTGACATTTAGTCCGTTTGCAATATGGTCCCTCAACATTTAGTCCATTTGCAATATGGTCCCCGACGTAACTGTTGGGGGACCATATTGCAAATGAACTAAATGTTGGGAGACTGTATTGCAAGTTTTAAAAGTTAAGAGACCTAAATAAAAGCTTTGAAAAAGTTCAGTGACCCTATACTTTACCCTTAAAAGAATGGCATAACATACTAAATTAATAATGGTATAAAACCAAAAAATCAATTTATTTAGTTCATATAATCATCTTAGAAAAATAAATATTATTCTCATAGCATAAAATCTGCTTTTGTAGGCAGCCTACTAAAGAAATTCTGGGGAGCATTAATATCGATGTAATTCTTGGGTCTCGCCAGTTTAGCAGTGAGTGAAACCTCTCCAACAGTGTTGCAATGTCACCAATCACAGTCACGAACCTCCCCGCGATACTTCTAAGCCGGTCGTATCTCATCCAGAGAACATCGGGTCGTCTCGAAGATGGGAAAGTGTCGAACTCTTCGTCCGGTTCGTCGGCTGTTGCAGGAACGAATTGCTTGGCATCGATATGTGTTGGATGCATCAGTCGCTTCCACCACTGCAAAATCATTGCTTGAATACCACACAGAATCACTGCTGGCAATATCAAGTCTGGTTTAAGAGCTATAATGCAGTAGATTGCAATGACTGCAACGGTTGCTGTCGGATTCTTCCATTTGCGGATTTCATCGAACCATTTCCGAGCATCTGATAAGCACTTCAAAGTAGCCAAAATTCTGAAAAAAAATTAGCTTTGGCTTTCCTTAAGCTCCACGTCGTGGAACCTCCGTCCAACATGTACTCCACAACTTCGCTCCTTAACGGTGGTTCGGTCCGGCTTAGACTCAAACAGAGAATTCGAGTAGCTTGTTCCCGTAAACTATCGAGTTGATATATCGAAAGCGGATAAATATGATGCATTGGAGGCAACATAGGATTCATGGTGTAAACCAGAAATAAGTTGAAGTAAGATGTGCAAGTAAATCTTATAGCTAACTGAATTTCTCCCGTTCTTTTTACTCCATTAGGCTGTAACACCAAAAGGGGGTAAGAATATGTGTAAATCTTGTTCTTTGCCAGAGTCGAAAATCGAATCTTTACCTTTCCTATACTCGGATCTTTTCCATCTCCGGCCACATCGCCATCATGCAAGTGACAGACATCAAAAACTCCTATGGTAAGCATGGTGTACGGATCATAAACATCCCATGTATATTGTTCATTCCATTTCGGATCGAAACTGTCTACTACTTTACCCACTTAGGTCCATATTTCGCCACACAATAAGCATCGGTAGTTTCACGGCCATCTCTAACCTTCATTGGCTGCAAACCAGTAGCATTTATGATCCCCAACTCCAAAACTCCAATCATAGTCGTCCACAGCACTTTTACTGTAGGCCGGTAATCGCTTCCAAAGTGAATGGATTCATCGAACACATGATATCCGCCATCAAGACTTACCCTCATGTTAAGCTTACTAAAGAATTTCTCCTCTTTCCTCACACAATCTTCAAACACAACATCTTCAAGATTGCACCACTTCGATTTAGCCGGTAACGGTAGCAGCCTCTGATCGACATCCAACAAATGAATTACGCACTTCCCTAAATGTCAGATTCTATTGTTTCGAGACAATCTTCTACCGTTATGATCAAAGGATCAACAAATGGTTCGGCAACAACGAACATCAAATCCTCATTCCATTTAGGATTCACATTCTTATCAGGGGAAACTCTGGTCCTCAATATCACATCCCCAACGACAGACAAGTTGGAACATCATGCAAAACAATGGTGATTTTACCAATCATATCCTCATTGATCACATTGATCTCCATGGTTGTACCCTGCAACCGATCTACTGTGAAGGCGAAAACTTGTTTCCATTCCGAATCTGGTTTCTTCTCGAAATATTTCGTCGTTGCACGATAGTTTCCGATCTTTATTTCGACATAAGGATTCATGATTCCAGTGGGAGTTTCCAGCGGTAAATCTCTAGCTCTAACTATTCTGACAAATAAGAACTTCATCTGCTCGACAAGATCGAAGGAAGATGCAAGGTTTTCATTACCAGAGACTCGGTCACCCCCTATGCTCGGTCTGGTTTCCCTCAAAGAATAGTCTACTTCTTCACCTGCCATTGTGAAAAGCGAACTGAAAAGAAGGGATCAAATGTTAGAATCTTCTGCAAAAATAAATGAACTGTGGAAAACCCCAAGAAAGAATTACGTAAAACAGATTAAGTATATACTTTATATACAACCCAATTTCCCATAATGCTATTAATTTGAAGATATTCCAAACAAACTGTATGAATTGGGACATAAGAAAACAGGTTTGGATTTCAAAACATGCAAATTTCAATGATTTTATTGTTGCAAGAAGAGCAGATAACTCAAAACATCTTTCAGGAGAGACTAGTAGAAACCAATGTTGAAGTTAGGATTAGGGTTTTTAAAAGCTACCTTATTTAATTAAAGGGTAAAGTATAGTAATGGTCACTGAAATTTTCTAAATATTTCATTTACGTCCTCAAACTTTTAAAAGTTGCAATAAAGTCCCTCAACATTTAGTCCGTTTGCAATATGATCCCCCAACAGTTACGTCAGGGACCATATTGCAAACAAACTAAATGTTGAGGGACCATATTGTAAATAGACTAAATGTTGGGATACTGTATTGCAAGTTTTAAAAGCTGGAGGACCTAAATGAAATATTTAGAAAATTCAGTGACCATTACTATACTTTACCGTTTTAATTAATCTTTCAGAGATTCTAAAAAATAGGATTTCCCATCTCTAACAAAATTACCATTACAATACAAAGCTGTAAATGATTATTCCAAATTTCCTCATTTATTGTTATCAATTATCAAGGCTAAACCATATATGTAATACCCTAATTATCACTTTTGTTTCATTTTAGTCACCGACTTTTTAAAATCAAAACAAATATTACATTTTGATTTTATTTTTGTTATCTACCATTAAAATAAATAACATAACTATTGATGTGATATTTTTAATTTTTTTTTAAATTATGACATGATATTATCTTATGGAGACACGTTAGTATTACCATTAATTTTTTAACAATATGTGAAAAATAAATTAAAAATATATAACGCTAGAGATGATTTTAAAATAGAAAATAATTAAATAACTAAAACAGAATAAAAATAATAATTAAAGTACTAAATGTATATTTTACCTTATTATCTTCTATAATATTGTCTTTTCAGATAATGAAACGTCACATGACTGCATGAAAATACCGCAACTTGACGCATCGTGAAAGAAATGCTTATATTTTAGGATCCGTTTGTTTAAAAAAATAGATTTTGAAAATTAATTTTTGTAAGATGAATTATATATTTTGGGAAATATTTATTGAAAATTATTTTATGATGTTTGAATGATGTGTGAATTATATTTAGTGATTAATAATATTTTTAGAAACAATTAATTATAAATATAAAATATAATAAATCATATTATTTATCAAAACAATATTTTTATTTTTTAAAATTATAATAATGTATTTAAAATTATTTACTTCAATATTATTATTAAAATATTAAATGTAAAATGTTATAAATAAAAATATTAATATTATTATATTTTATTAAAATAAAATTATTATAAATTATATTAATTATTTATTAAAATAACAATAATATATTATTAGTTATGTTAATTACTTATTAAAATATAAAAAATATAATATTAAAGTAAAAATATTATATTATATTCTAAGAATTATTAATAAATATATTTTAAATAATAAATAATTTAATAATATTATTTCTATGAAATTAATAAATAATATTGATGTTATTAATAATTTATTACTATAACATTAAAAAAATATCATATTGTATTATTAAAATTATCAATAAATATAATTTAATAATTAATATTTTTATTAAAATGATATTAAAATGATATATTATTATTAAATATGTAAAATAAAAATGTTTTGAGGTATTTATGCTTTGAAGTAAAAAGTTCGTAAAATGACTCACAGAAAATTAAGTAATTTTTCAGAAAATGCAAAGAAAATTATGTTAGTCAAGAAAATAAATTATATTGACTATCTATTTTCTGCCAACTAATGCTTAAAAAATAAAGAAAATATGTTTTTTTAGAAAAATAAATTTTAGGGAAACAAATAGGCCTTTAATGTATAATAAAAAATTTAGCTCATAGATCGTATAAGACCTTAAAACATGGAGTATTCAAAATAAATATATTTCAAAACTGTAGTCACTTAAAATACATATGACACCTAAGACGCCCCTATGGACTCCTCTGAAAACTCTTTTGATCCATCGATCCCAAAAAAACGTGGCCGTAGGGATGAAGCACCCCTTCTCCTGTCATTCCCTCTTGCTCGCCAATGATGGATTGCAACTTCTTTTCCGTCCCTCCTCCACCTTCCTTTAAGGACATGGTTATTGGCTTAAATGGTTCTTCCCAATCTGAATTTTTTTTTGACTTGGACGATGATGATATTGACCTTCTTGATGAAGATATTTCCATTGGTTTATCGGACGACATTCCAACCATAGATTTCTCCGATAGAGTTCAATCCCTAGCCATAAAAAGAATGGAACTGAACCTTGTTGTCAAAGTCTTGGATCGTCGAGTTGGGTACCATACACTCCAAAACCGTATTTACAATATATGGAAACCAGCTAGTGACTAAATTGTAAGATTTTAAACTTCGTGTCTATTTTTGAAAAAATTAAAAAGTTTAGGGACTTAATTGGAATATCTTGTGTAGGATTGAATAGCAAAGGAGGAAGGATGGAAGGGTATAATGGTCATTTGATAAGAAAATAAATTAAAAACTCATTTTTGTGTTATATATCTACGTGGAGTAGGGAAGAAAGAAAGAAAAATCAGAAAACTCTAGAATTTTTCTTCATCCTTTTTTCCTTCTTCAACCGTGAGTTTCATAGCTAAAGTAAGAATGTTTTCAGTTGGTTAATTCTTGTAAGTTTTGAGTGGTTTTGATTCTTGGGATGTTAGGAAAGCTTAAGGAAACTTAAAGAGAAGTAGAAACTAAAAGATTTGCAAGTTACGGGAAATTGAATAAAAAGGGTTTTAAATGATTGATAAGAAAGAGTTAATAAATGAATTTTGAAGTGAAATTTGACCTGTCATGAGATGAAATAAGAAACCTAAAGTGTTAGAAATGGAGTTGGAAAATGTGAAATATTTGGTGAGATTCTTAGTTTCAAGTGATATTATGATATTTTGGATGTTTAGATGTGTTAAAGGGATGTAAGTTGATTTGAATAAGTGTAGTTGAGCATAAAGGTTTTAAAGAAGAGTAAAGGGAGGATTTTAGCTAAGTTTTGGTTAATTTTTGAGTTGAAACGAGTAAGTTCTAAGCTAGAGGTATCGGTACTAGATGAACAATACCTATACTTCAAGGAAAAAATGGGTGATATCTTGGTCTAGGGATCTATACTGGATAAACAATATCGATTCCATAAGGTAAAAGTTGATGAATCCTTCAAAGAGTATCGATACCGAAGTAGTAGCATATACTAGGGGTACGATACCAATGTTTAAGTATTGATACCATTTTTAAGGATGAATTCCAGAATGTAAAAAGGGTATCGATACCACTATAGGTAAGTATCGGTACTGGAGTTAGGGTACTGATACTATTCAAATTGAAATTTGGAATTAAATGCTTTGTTCAGTTTATGTTATGAAAGATTGATTATAATGATTCAAATTTTGATATTTATACCAATCGTATTATTGTGTAGATATTGAACGAGAGCAAGTTCCGGATGGTTCGAACTTATAAGAGTGTGCAAGAGTTATAAGTATTTTGCTTTGACTAGTGAGGCCAATGTGAGTGCATACTACTATGAAATATGATCATATGGAAAGAAGACTTGCGATGAGTCTATTTCCAATGTTTGATTGCATGATTTCATGAATACAAGTATATTATTGATATGATTTCTATGTGTACATGAGTACATGCTTATGTCTATATGATACATGCATTATTATACATGATCTATGTGTTATATGTTATCCTATGTGTTACATGATCTACGTAGATATAAGAGAACAAGATATAAGCTATGTGACAATTACCTATGTGATGACATGAGAATATGATATAAGATACTTGATAAGGACCTATGTGATTATATGTCTATGTGATATTGAACTAATTGATTATATGAAAATGTAAAATGTGTAAATGGTAAATCTCATAAGTATGTGATATGAGAGCTAAGGGTATAATTGGCATGCCAAGAGTCGATGGTTCTACGCAGTCCTTCGAGATAATTCTACGTGGTCCTTCGGGACATTTCTACGCGGTCGTTCGGGATAATACTATATATGTGGTCCTTCGGGATATTTCTATGTGGCACTTCGGTGCATAATCTACGCGACACTTCGGTGAAATTTATACGAGTTGTGGTGACAACATTTGTGCACAACCTCAATGCACTCACATACCTTAAGTTCTCAATGATATACAAGGCTATTAAAAGAAAGGATATAAATGAACAATGAATGATAATGATAATGATAATGACAATGACAATGACAATGACAATGACAATGACAATGACAATGACAATGACAATGACAATGACAATGACAATGACAATGATAATGATGTTGTTGATGATATATATATGTTTTTGTTATATGAGATGTTCCATAGTTCTTTATATGATTTTATGATATATTTAGAATATGTCTAAGTGTTTTAGGATTTTATTTCTCAAAAATGTATCATGAGATATTAAAATAAATAACATGAATGAACCGTGTATAATATTACATGTTCTTTTTGGGTGAAGTGTATGATAGTTTCTGTACTTATTATGTTTATAAAAGTTAATTATATTATTACATGTTTTAATGTTCCATTTATCCATTATATGCCTCACTAAGTCAAAGACTTAGCGTGTGAGTGTTTCACACGTAGGTTTAGAGAAGCAAGAAGAGCAAAGCTAAGCAAGTCATGACAACATCTCCTTTCAGAAGATCAGATCAGAAAAGAATTAAACCTTAGGTATTTTGTTATATAGAATATGGTTGGCATGTAATTAACGGTTTGAATCGTATATGCTCTGATCAGTTTTGTAAACAAA